ATGTAAATAGAAATTAGGAAAACAAAAGGTAGAGCAGGGAGGGGAGGGGAGGGGAGGGGAGGGGGAAAAGGCCAAAGGTAAGTAAGTAGCTTTCCAAGGTAGAAAAAAGGCTGTCTGTGAAAAAGTAAGTAGCTGTAAATTAGGAAGACAAAGGGTAGAAAAGCAGGGGCAGGGCTGGAAGGGGGTACAGGAAGGAAAGGGTACAGGGTCAGGTCTGGCAGATACCTGGTGAATCAGATGTCAGGCAGGTTGTAATGTCTCATAAATCCAATGTCTATACTGAGGCCATGATTTTTTGTATCCAGTAGATTTATGAAGTGAAGTTCATAGGTTCGCCTATGGAAGGTGTTTTGTAAGTTTCCTTTGAAAATTAGAACTGAGAGGTTGGAGAAGGAGCGATTGTCCTGTGAGAAGTGTGCACCCGCAGGTAGTTGGGTATTCTTGTCTTTGATAGTTTTTTGGTGTGCTTTCATTCTGGTGCACAGTTGTTGTTTGGTTTGTCCTACATATTTTCCATCAGGGCATTTCATGCACTGGATGAGATATATAACATTCCTGAAGGTGCAGGTGTAAGATCCAGGAATGATGATGGTTCTGTTGTGGGGTGTAGTTATTGTGGGGGTGGCGGAGATAGGGCTGTGCAAAACAGCACTGTTTCATTTTGACTTCCATTTCACCATTTCGATGGGACAGTGTTTTGTTTTGAGTTTTGTTTCAAAAGCACTGTTCTGTTTTGTTCCATCAAAACTGTTTCACTGTTTCAACACTGTTTCGACATTTCGCCCATAGGCTATAATGGGGAAGCACAAAACTGCCTATAACATTATCATTTTTTGGCAGATTTGAATAAAAACAGCAGGAATGGTAGCCCCTGCTGAGGCCACAAAGCCTGCAAAGTTTCAAGGAGATAGGTGCAGAGGTTTCTGGGAAACTGCACCTCAAGCTGCTGACAAGCAAAACTTGTGACGTGTGAGTGTGTGTGTGTTAAGGCACACCCTCACTGGTGCTGGGGCCTCTACGTGACACAGTAGTGTGCCCCAGTGAGGTCTCCTCTTCCCGTACAGCCTCAGTCTGGTCCACCACTTTAAATAACAGCAGGTAATAACTTAGTAAGCAGCACAGTAGCACCAGCAGCATCTCAGGCAGCCAAACAGGCACAGTGTGTATCAGAGCAGTCCTTCCCCCACTTCCCCCTCCCTCTCCATACTTTCTGTTTCCTGGCAGGCAAGCCCAGCTTCAGCTTCAAAACTCGAAACTTTTTGAAACTTTTGAAATGTTTTTACTGCCCTCATTTCATTTTGATGCTGTTTCAAAGCCCTTTGTTTTGTTTCGATTTTGCTGTTTCAAGCTCTAAACGAGTCAAAACAGCTGGCAAAATTTTGCACAGCCCTAGCAGGCAGGTTTTGCATTTATTGTCCTGGCATGGTCTGGATCCATTAGGTGTGGTTTGGGTCATAGGGAGTTTGCTTCTGGTGATGAAATTAGCAAGGTTCAGTGCTTGTTTAAAGGCTAGTGGTGGTTCTGGAAAGATCTCTTTAAGAATTGGGTCTTCTTCTAGTATGGGTTGTAATTGCATAGGTGGTAGGGTCAGAAGGGACCTGAGCAGATCATCAAATCCAACCCCTGCCATGGCAGGAAAGAGTACTAGGGTCAAATGACCCCAGCAAGGTGTTCATTCAGCCTCCTCTTAAAGACTCTCAGGGTAGGAGCCAGCACCACTTTGCTTGGAAGTTGGTTCCAGATCCTAGCCGCCCTCACAGTGAAGTAGCGCCTCCTAATGTCTA